CGTGCCTCGATACGGCAACCCCAGAATGTTCAAGAGCCGGGCGCCATGTTGGTACAGCAATGGCGCAGGTTGCCTAATTCTATGGATGCGGGGCAGTCAATGTGTACAATTACACACTTACGTATGTGATTACAGATCGCTCTATAAGATACGTGTAAGAATATTAAACGCGATATTATTTCATATTTGTTTTTTTAACGTACTGATCTCGTGTGTTTGTTATGCCACTTACGCCAACGTTTATATTCTAACATATGATCGTTATATTAATTCTTAGTCTCTTTTGAGGAGGAACACCAATGTAAAGTTATTTGGCATGAGGTACACAGTCTGTAACCACGTGTCGTATGCATCCTTGTTGGAAGCAGGTAATAATGTTTACAGCTGAGGATGCTCCCCTTCAAGTTTGGTGCGAATGTCTACATATTGTGGATATCTTGTATGTACTTTCATGTGGTTTGTCGTCATCGACGGAAACCACAGTGTAAATCATGGGCTCATCACGCCAAGAGTTCGGTTTGATTGTCCATGTGGGTACATCATGAAACCCATTTCTCAATCACCCACTGCATAATTCACTCACTCGCCAGCCATCAGCTATGGGTTATAGTGAAAACAGACCCCAGCGGAAACGGCCAATTTTTTTTCGAGAAAACGGCCACCGCTGCTAGAGAAAACAGCCTCTTGGCCAAGAGAAAACGGCCATTATATATAACAGAAACTACATGTATTTTATTTTGCTTTTGATCATCTCTATATCAATATCATAACAAGAAGGCAGCGACAATGATAACATAATAATGGTAAAGATTTAGGTTGTACATCTACAAGTGGTATTTATGTATTATACTGTTTGCTGCAGAATGCTCGTCAAACCACTCTTCATGTGTACTAAAGAGATAAATAAACAGGATAAATAATAACTCTGTCTATCAAAAAGTAGTATTTCATGTTTTTCTTAAAGAGATATAAGTGGGCGCCGGTTGGCTGATCAGGAGCAAGGGTGTTTGTCATCAAGTCTTTTAAACAGTAGCGGAAAGGATTATTTCGGGCTTGCGCCTTCACCCGTCAACAGTTAATTATTCAATAAACACGAGAAAATGTTATCATTACTCAGTTGTTGTAGGTGAAAGTATTAGATAAGATGATCTATTAAATCTTTTGTCAACCTGTTTTCTTACTTTCTCGTCAGTCGGTACACAGGGATTAGCGGGATGATTGGATATCTTGACCTGACTCACGGTGACTCGTGATACAAATCTAAATTAATTAAATTTAAAACACTTCAACTATAGGTGACAATACAATATATCAACATTATATAGATGGCCTACAACTGAAGGTAGATCACCATACAAGGGACCATGGCAGAACTAAAAGAACAAAAGTTGGAATTACTTAAAACAGACTTCACATTTGATGTAATTAAATTTCAGTATAAACACTGCCATATTTGTGGTTTGTTCATTGTAACTATCGAAACAACCAATCAATCTTCAAAGGTTAAACCGTTATGGATATCGAAACAACCAATCAATCTTCAAAGGTTAAACCGCTATGGATATTGAAACAACCAATCAATCTTCAAAGGTTAAACCGCTATGGATATTGAAACAACCAATCAATCTTCAAAGGTTAAACAGCTATGGATATTGAAACAACCAATCAATCTTCAAAGGTTAAACAGCTATGGATATCGAAACAACCAATGAATCTTCAAAGATTAAACCGTTATGGATATCGAAACAACCAATCAATCTTCAAAGGTTAAACCGCTATGGATATCGAAACAACCAATCAATCTTCAAAGGTTAAACCGCTATGGATATCGAAATCAATCAATCTTCAAAGGTTAAACCGTTATGGATGTTGAAACAACCAATGAATCTTCAAAGGTTAAACAGCTATGGATATCGAAACAACAAATCAATCTTCAAAGGTTAAACCGTTATGGATATCGAAACAACCAATCAATCTTCAAAGGTTAAACCGTTATGGATATCGAAACAACCAATCAATCTTCAAAGGTTAAACCGTTATGGATATCGAAACAACCAATCAATCTTCAAAGGTTAAACCGCTATGGATATCGAAATCAATCAATCTTCAAAGGTTAAACCGTTATGGATGTTGAAACAACCAATCAATCTTCAAAGGTTAAACAGCTATGGATATCGAAACAACCAATCAATATTCAAAGGTTAAACCGTTATGGATATCGAAACAACCAATCAATATTCAAAGGTTAAACCGCTATGGATATCGAAACAACCAATCAATCTTCAAAGGTTAAACAGCTATGGATATCGAAACAACCAATCAATATTCAAAGGTTAAACCGTTATGGATATCGAAACAACCAATAGATCTTCAAAGGTTAAACCGTTATGGATATCGAAACAACCAATCAATCTTCAAAGGTTAAACAGTTATGGATATCGAAATCAATCAATCTTCAAAGGTTAAACCGTTATGGATATCGAAACAACCAATGAATCTTCAAAGATTAAACCGTTATGGATATCGAAACAACCAATCAATCTTCAAAGGTTAAACCGTTATGGATATCGAAACAACCAATCAATCTTCAAAGGTTAAACCGCTATGGATATCGAAACAACCAATTAATCTTCAAAGGTTAAACCGCTATGGATATCGAAACAACCAATGAATCTTCAAAGGTTAAGCCGCTATAGATATTGAAACAACCAATCAATCTTCAAAGGTTAAACCGTTATGGATATCGAAACAACCAATCAATCTTCAAAGGTTAAACCGCTATGGATATCGAAACAACAAATCAATCTTCAAAGATTAAACCGCTATGGATATCGAAACAACCAATCAATCTTCAAAGATTAAACCGTTATGGATATCGAAACAACCAATCAATCTTCAAAGGTTAAACCGTTATGGATATTGAAACAACCAATCAATCTTCAAAGGTTAAACCGCTATGGATATCGAAACAACCAATGAATCTTCAAAGGTTAAACTGCTCTGGATATCGAAACAACAAATCAATATTCAAAGGTTAAACCGTTATGGATATCGAAACAACCAATCAATCTTCAAAGGTTAAACAGCTATGGATATCGAAACAACCAATGAATCTTCAAAGATTAAACCGTTATGGATATCGAAACAACAAATCAATCTTCAAAGGTTAAACCGCTATGGATATCGAAACAACCAATCAATCTTCAAAGGTTAAACCGCTATGGATATCGAAATCAATCAATCTTCAAAGGTTAAACCGTTATGGATGTTGAAACAACCAATCAATCTTCAAAGGTTAAACAGCTATGGATATCGAAACAACAAATCAATCTTCAAAGGTTAAACCGTTATGGATATCGAAACAACCAATCAATCTTCAAAGGTTAAACCGTTATGGATATCGAAACAACCAATCAATCTTCAAAGGTTAAACCATTATGGATATCGAAACAACCAATCAATCTTCAAAGGTTAAACCGCTATGGATATCGAAATCAATCAATCTTCAAAGGTTAAACCGTTATGGATATCGAAACAACCAATCAATCTTCAAAGGTTAAACCGTTATGGATATCGAAACAACCAATCAATCTTCAAAGGTTAAACCGTTATGGATATCGAAACAACCAATCAATCTTCAAAGGTTAAACCGTTATGGATATCGAAACAACCAATCAATCTTCAAAGGTTAAACCGCTATGGATATCGAAACAACCAATCAATCTTCAAAGGTTAAACAGCTATGGATATCAAAACAACCAATCAATATTCAAAGGTTAAACCGTTATGGATATCGAAACAACCAATCGATCTTCAAAGGTTAAACCGTTATGGATATCGAAACAACCAATCAATCTTCAAAGGTTAAACAGCTATGGATATCGAAATCAATCAATCTTCAAAGGTTAAACCGTTATGGATATCGAAACAACCAATGAATCTTCAAAGATTAAACCGTTATGGATATCGAAACAACCAATCAATCTTCAAAGGTTAAACCGTTATGGATATCGAAACAACCAATCAATCTTCAAAGGTTAAACCGCTATGGATATCGAAACAACCAATTAATCTTCAAAGGTTAAACCGCTATGGATATCGAAACAACCAATCAATCTTCAAAGGTTAAGCCGCTATAGATATTGAAACAACCAATCAATCTTCAAAGGTTAAACCGTTATGGATATCGAAACAACCAATCAATCTTCAAAGGTTAAACCATTATGGATATTGAAACAACCAATCAATCTTCAAAGGTTAAACCGCTATGGATATCGAAATCAATCAATCTTCAAAGGTTAAACCGCTATGGATATCGAAACAACCAATGAATCTTCAAAGGTTAAACTGCTCTGGATATCGAAACAACAAATCAATATTCAAAGGTTAAACCGTTATGGATATCGAAACAACCTATCAATCTTCAAAGGTTAAACAGCTATGGATATCGAAACAACCAATCAATCTTCAAAGGTTAAACAGCTATGGATATCGAAACAACAAATCAATCTTCAAAGGTTAAACCGTTATGGATATCGAAACAACCAATCAATCTTCAAAGGTTAAACCGTTATGGATATCGAAACAACCAATCAATCTTCAAAGGTTAAACCGTTATGGATATCGAAACAACCAATCAATCTTCAAAGGTTAAGCCGCTATAGATATCGAAACAACCAATCAATCTTCAAAGGTTAAACAGCTATGGATATCGAAACAACCAATCAATCTTCAAAGGTTAAACCGCTATGGATATCGAAACAAAAACAATCAATCAATTTTTTTTTAAATATCCGCAGTGAAGTAAATCTCTATCATTTAGTATATATCTAATCATATAATCTCCTTTGATCTTGGTGCAACTATGTTGGCCATATTCTCTAGGCACAGAGGCCGTTTTCTCTATGTTCGGTGGCAGTTTTCTGGGTTTATGGGGTCCCTTTTCGCTGGGGTCCGTTTTCTCCGTATCCCTCAGCTATAATGAAATATTATGTTCTTACTTAGGAGCAGGGTTGCCATCCGCTTTGCATGTGAAGGTGAAGTTCCCATGTTCAACGATGTATTTGATTTGTTGCACTGGAGGATCTGTTATGTCTGGCGGTTTTCCTGTTTCGGAAAAAACGGAAAACCATTTGTCGTCGTCATAAACGTATACAATGTGTGCAATACACATATTGAATCGAATGGACATACAATGTATTACTAGAGTCTATTGGCCGAATGTGTATCAGAAATGCATATTAGAAATAGAAATGTTTTCTTATAACCAATATACAACATTTACTATTAGTAAACACACGGGGGTAATATTCTGTTCATCACATACTGTCTTTCTTAAAATACTTCCAGGGATACGGGTGGCCCGCTCTTCTGAAGACTCTGTAACTCGCTGTGCCAAGTCAGACATTTATGATTGTTCGATTTCCGGTTCGCCTTCTTTATATTTCCTAGATTTGACAGCAAAATACCTTAGTCGTGGGTTTTCAGGACAGTGGAAATTGTCATTCTTTACTCCCACGGTGTACTGACATGCCGTAATATAACTGAAATACTGTTAATATCGGCGTTAAACAAAACTCACTTCTTGACGAGTGTTCACATATTTGATAACAAAATATATCCTAGGGGCGGATACAGCTTTTTGAGAAGGGGTGTGGGGTGGATGTTGGTGTGCACACTCTTGAGAAGAGGGGAGGGTGCACACTTCATTCTCACCAGAGTTCCAATGGTCATTTAATAAACTTTCAGGACAAAAGTGGGGAGGGCTCTGGATTCGCCTATGCATTCCGTGATATTGTGATGAAAGCAAAATGTGATTGTTGAGTCATATTTTCCCGATATTTGACGATACTGCAGTGTGCTGAACGTATTCCATAAATAGGAATAACGCACAATTACAAATGAAACAAGTTGCGACAGCAGGAATACGAGTTCCGGAATTACAGTCTGTATGCGAAACTCACCCTGTGAAGCGACGTTGTGTAGTGAAACCAGGAAACAGAACAAAGTGACGGTCGGTGACATTGTGAGGCTGATTCACACACAGGGAAGGTCCTCTCTTGGGGCCTGTTTAAACAGTACAGCAAACTTCAACAGAGAGAACAACTCAGTCACGCAACAAATGCTATGGACACCGTGATACTATATTATACCAAATTTGTAAAATGTATACATTGGCAAAATGACAGAAATACAGGTAAAACGTGTAGGACAATAATGTTCAGTATCGATATATCTATGTAACCAATATAAAAATGTGTGAAATTATTGTATTGCTGTATAAGATGAAAATTACGTACTCCCTCCTTTCTGACTCAGCTGCACTGTGCACAAAGTGCTTTTTGTCTTTGTGCCTGATGCCGTATTCAAAATATTTCCAGACGCCCCTCTTAATCTCGGCCGTCACTCGCAATTAGTGTTATTACGGGTACCCGAGTCGGGTCGGGTAATAGGGGGTCGGGTACCCGGGTAGGAAATTTGGACCCACCCCAGCCCTACCTATTACCATTTTCAGTATTCAAACTGTGGTTGTATGATCTTAGTTTAAGAATATGAAAGTAAACAAATTTTGGGAACAAAGAGATACTTTTCAAAACTGTGTTTTTCCTTGAAATATTTATGATAACTTGCTTTTGGGTTCTGTTCTGTTTCCTTCTACCCGTTTTGTAAAAATGCTATCAATGGTAGATCACATTTCCCCGTACTATCGGTGAATAGGAACTCGGTATAAAGAAGCAGATAGCATGGGTGACTGATAACTGCAGCTTTGTATCAGAATGAAATGGCATACAGTTTTACATATGAAAGTTCTATTCCAAATTCGCCGTATACCATGAAGTTTTGGCATTGAATTACAGAAGCCAGGAGCAAGAATAACAAACTCTGAAAGTGTTTATTTTTAAAATACGATTGAAAAATCCCAAATCTCAGAACTGCGTTTTCTTAATAATGAAAACATGTCATTTGTTGGGTTTTCCGTTAACAATTTTATATATGTTACAAATGTTACATTTCTGTAAACTTTTATTCCCCAATATGCGTCGTTCTCTACAACTTGTGTAGGTATTGTAAAAAGTAAAAAAAGTATGTTTCAGCTTGTGTTTGACATGTCAAAAAACGACAGAGACTTTCAGTTTCCCCTTTAGTAGTTCATCTTGTCCATAAACATATACAAGCTATCAAACAAAATAGCGATAAAACAGCTTGATATTACATGGCGAAGAGGACAGGAAACCATGCCTATCAGCTGTACGCGGATTGTGATAGGGGACTACATTAGTGACACTTACCTGAATATCCAGATTGATTCAGCTAGTCAGATGTTCTCCACTACAAGCTGTTGGTGTCTGGCTGGTCCTAGCGGATACGTTGTTTTCCGTGTGTGCCTGTTAGATAAGGAAAGCATAGTCACCACTGTACTGCGCAGTGGGATGAATCAGGAATAGGAAAGTAGCAAAAAAACGCCCCTATGCATTTTAACTTGAAATATGGTTATGTTTAAGATAGCTAGCGTGTGATTCCGAGTATAACATAGGACTGTTTTTAGGTGATCAGTTTCATTTAAAGATCACTCCAGTTGTCCGTGAAAAGAAAAAGGTGTATCCAAACAGTGGCGCCCCTCTCAAACACAGGCAAAGGCATGTCAAGAGTGTCACCTCGCCAAATACGGGATTATAATGTTATTGTTGCAGTTGAAAGAGAGATTTGCGTCAGACTTCTTTTCGTCACTGATGTATCAAATATTGAAATGCCCTCCACATGTCTACTAACATAATTTATTAATTTGTGAAAGCTTCAGGAAGATCTTGAGTATTGGAAATCTGATAAACAACCTTTGAGAAAGAATCGTATGACAGTCCCTGAAAACACCTTTTCGTCGATTTTATAACGACTGGTATCGTTAAAGACACTTTGAATATTGCAGGAGTCACCAATAAACATATTGACATATGTGCAGCGGCTACCAATAGTATCTGTATACAAATATATAACCACTAGAAAACATATCGAATACTTTGTTAATGTTTACAGCGTAAACTAAACAAGTACATGCTAAACACGCTTGAACATTTCAGCAATATGTCAGCCAACTTGAGACACAGATGTAATATTATCTTAACTTAATAATTCTTAACTCAACTTACCCTCTCCATCTTAAAATCATCATCACCCCCTAGGAAATATTATGAACTGTCCCTAAATCTGTGATTTGCAAATTTTGTAACAGGTTCCGACACACAGAAACCATTAATTATCGGCACTGCACGTTTTGTCTTCCTAGACTTTAAAACTCATTGTGCATGTATAATAATTGCAACTGACATCCTCTTACAACGTGGATCACCAGAATGAGAAGGGCAGCCACGAATCCCGTCTTTGCTGAATATCGTACGTGATCGGGATACGTCTACTCCTAAAGGTCGTCAGTTACGTTTGATGATCTGGGTCAGGTGCTGCCGGAGGAGTGAACTGGACTGCATCGAACTGCCATTATAAGATTGATTTGGACCATGCCACGCCGTAAAAATCAATTGCTTTACCAATGGAGGCAAAGCTCATAACTGATGAAAAAATCCTTTTTTTGACTACGTACTGTTGTTTTTGTGTTTGTTTACGTTTTTACAACACACCAAAAACCTGCTTCGTTTGATCAACACGTTAGAACATCAGTGTCACTCGGGAGACTTATTTTGTTTGTTATCATTTGTAAATATTGGCTCTTCCTTACTTTTCTTAGACATAGTATGTTTGTTAGAATTGTTATAATACATACATTTAGAAATAGTTGGTTTCGATTTGGCTTGCTCTCGAGAAAGGGGATCATATCACACATGTCAATTCACACGGAAATCGTGTTGTGATCGGGAAATGACACAACGGTAATATCATACTGACACGGAAATAAGTCAGATTTGCAATAAATTATAAATGCTAACAAACAGTGTCCCAATTCTGCTTAAGGGGCAAACTGAAGATATCCCGAACAAGAAATTGTCGTTCGAATGAAAATAACAGCGGTTAACAGTGGGATCTCATGTATATTCAGAAACCAGATGTGACTCATTTTGGGTACAACCTGAATCTGTTTGTACTTGTATTTATAGAGTAAAGCCACGTTAGCATGAACCCATCCTGACATCCTACCTTCCGTGTTGTTCCTGCTTCGGACATCTTCAAACGTTTAGACTCACTTACAACACTCACTATATGTTATGTATATATGTATGGTTACATCGAAGATGGATTTCTCCACTAACTTGGGGGAACCAACTGCAAACTTTATGCAGCTGAACTGCACGAGGATCATGCATCAAATTGCTGAAAAGCATGTGCAAATATCGTGCATGTGAACAGCTGCGTTGTGGTGTAAAGTTTTGTTAAGAATTCGCCAATTTTCACTGATTTTCATCATTTACTGAACTCATGACAATAATCTTTTCAACGTTACTAATTTGTTTTACAACACATCAGTTCATGTGTAAACAGTACCTGTTTCAGACATCTACATATAATCAGTTGAATAGTGTAACATACCCATGACTTGAAGTAGTGTTTCCCCCAGGCATATTTGGCAGGGCGCAGCGCCCTGTCCTTTTTATTCAGCGCCCTGCCCTTTTTATTTAGCGCCCTGCCCTTTTCATTTAGCGCTGTGCCCTTTTGAATCACCGCATTATCTGCCCTTTGAAAAATCTAATATTTTCCGGATTTTAACAAAGGCAGGAGCTAGCTCCCTTCCCGGATGTTTTTGTTGTGCAATAAAACTACCTATTTAAGTCATAATCTAGGTTCATGTGATCTCTTTGTAGCTAATAAAACATGCCCATTCCGTCTCTGTTATGTTTAAGAATCTTTGCTGTAAATACTTTACGTCCATATCTTATTTTAGTCTTTTTGTGAGTAGAAAATAAACACGAATGAAACAAAGGGAAGCCATATCGGACATGATCACTTCAGATTATTCCGAATATTTTTCTTTTCCTTTTCCTTTTCAATGCTTGTCTCAAGTATATAAAACACATCGGTGATTGTTATCCTCTCTAATATTACGATTGTGAATAGATTCTAATATGTTTTTTTTACTTTTAATTTCTCCTTGTTCAGTCGACCTCGCTCTGAAAGAAATCTTTCGGAAGCACGTATTTCTCATTTCGATTTTCTAGATATACACAAAACTCTCTCGTTTGCTATAGTTAATATTTGCACTGGGTATATGTGTTGAAATTTTAAATACTCTTTGTGAATATACGAATTACCGAAGTAATAATTCCACACGAAATAGACGCAGGAATCGAAGCCACATCAAACATGTCTATTTCTGAACGTATCTAAGTTTATTTTTTGCACTGCATACATGTAGTTTTTCATATTCTAAAATATTGGTAGAAATACTAAATTAATTTTTCTATATATACTTAATTTGAATTTAGTAGATTTTGTGGTGGATAAGGTGTCTGCAATGAACAAAGACAATTTTACCTGTCTCCATATCTAGTCTTAAAGATTTTCAAAATTAAAAATAATTGTTCCAAACTTTTGTGTATATTTATCTGATATTTTACCCTAATTTATCCTCAACTGAAATGTAATAAAAGTGTGAACTGTTTTTTCTGTGTGTGAAAAAGTACTTTCATTAGTACAAGGTATTTTTACTATTCTTATTTTCTTAATATTCAAAGGATGTTTTCTTATAACCAAATTACAAATACAATAAATTTTGGCTGGAAATAAAACTGACTTGTGCGTGTATTTCAGACCCAATGTAGAAGATTCAGAACTTGTTTGCTATGACATTGACAAGTGGTTGTCATCCAGTGGCCCAGCTCCTCAAACAACTCAGAAGAAGAAAGATGCAGGTCACAAGCTTGTCTTGGAAACAAGGTCGCCCTGGCTAAAATACGTTGAGGATGCAAACGAGGAGGATGAAACAAGCTCCATGATGTTTCGTTCTCTTTGCACCAAGTGGAATATGAAAGGACGAAATGGATCCATGGTTTTGACACAAGTTGGATGTCACATTTTCATATATTGACATTGATACTATTCAAATTAAAGATTACAAAACTGGCAGAACACTTGGCAGGCCTGGATGTTGATAAAACACAGCTTGAGTGGAGTCAGGTCAAGGAACTCTTTGCTGAGGAAGTTGACACCTGTTCACCATCCAATATCCTGAAGACTCTGACAAGCCTCAAGCCCCAACTGGAAGACCTCTACCCAAACATTGTGAAGCTCCTGAGTATCCATGCTACTGTGATCCTTTCGACATCAGAGGCTGAGAGAGTCTTCTCCAAGGCGAAACTCATTGTGACAGACTATAGGAACAGGCTGAAAGTAAATAACTGCACCAAGCTACTTATGGTCAGCATGAATGCTAAGTCTTCTACTGACATTGACTTGAGGAAGTGTGTGGCCAAGTTCGTGGCACGAAAGAAGAGGAGAATATGAACGAATAATTTTATGAACTTTGCATCAAAGCATGCCAAACAGACCCAAATTATGTCATCTATAGTAAATTATTGAACCCTTAATTGTTGTGCCTTTTTTGTTTGCTGAATGCCCTTTTGCATTTTAATGTGCCCTTTTTTCTCTGAGTCTACCCTCCCCAACTGGAAATGGTGGTTTCTATGTCGTTTCCTTTCAGTTTCAGTGTTCCGGAAACCAACTTACTTTTGTAGTGTTTGAAACATTCGCCACTGTTCGTTGAATCAGGATGTTACGTGGTCAGTGCACCAGCAACACCTAAAGGTAGGCACGTACAGCAACTGGTATAGTTCTCACACTGTCCGCGTACATGTACAAAGGTGAAGGAAAATATACGCGTCTCTTGTTTGTATGTACCTGAGATACCATATACAGTCGGTCGCTATAGCGTGAGTACTCTTTACGTCATGGTAGGCTTAGTTTTGTGGATCAGATCATTTTACTAGGGAACACCATCGTTATTAATTGATATCCATATGTGCCATAGGGACTGGGCGAATTTTGAATATCTCTAACGCGGTCACGTTGCTCTTCCTGTCCGCCATGCTTCATATCTGGGTTACCTGGCAGGCCAGCAGGTATATTGATCTGCCAGCACATTTCAGGTTGGGATAATAAACTTGCCAGTTTAAACGATTTGGGTATTGGAGTAATTGTCAAACGTTTGGTAGTCGTTGGGCCATAAACATTTCAAAGTTTAATCAATGCATATAGTATCGTAACAACGACTGTTTCATGTACTGTAGACATATGCACGTCAAGATCAATCAAATAGCCTCATGATATGTTGTTTTTTGGCATTTGTAGATACCCTGTATGTGACCAAACAGTTTTAGCCAGCACAACCTCCCAGTGAAGGAATCCCCGCTTCAGCATGAGACTGTACTGCACCGCATTCTTATTCCTCGCCCTGACCCAGCTAAACGGGGTTGTAGCACAGGGTAAGACCATTGTCAATAGAAATACACGTGATCAGGCTTGTATTTGCTGTCAACGGCAGGTCACGCTGTACAGTGACTATAGCGTGACTCTATGGAACCAGACTATGAGCTCAACACTGCGGTATTCAAATGAATCAGTTTCGCCATGTTGATTAAGAACTTATGTCGCTTTCTGGTCCTGATAGACTGTTTATCAGCTCTATGATTATACACCCCGTTTTTCTCAAGATAACGCTATACATCCCGAGGTATCTGCATTAACGAGGCTCTCCTGTATGCCCCCGCGGGTTTGTTATAGCAAGAGCTAACTGACCTATTTGACGCACTCATTGGAGATGTGATGTTATGGAGAGTTATAAAAATCATTGCACAGGGTCTGATTGCATTTCTGAATATACAATATGTTTCAGAGAAATTTATCTCTTAGAGTAGATAAACGTAGGAGTATTATTTGGCGTCCACCAAATGACACCACTATTACTTAAGGGTTTGATTTCGACTCAATAAACACTCCTTCTCAGTGAGTCATTATCACTTCCTGCATGTTGATAAGAATGTTATCGCGTGGTCCTGTGCTTAAAGCTCAGGTCACAAATCGGTGAAGTTAAGCAGCGTCGAGCTCTCGGAGAGTCCTTGGATGGGTGACCGTGTTTGGCTGCTTGACTCCTGAGAGTTTCTAGGACTTGAGTCCTGCCCACATTAAACGAAGCACATGTGACACATGTGGTCTCACCTTAGGCAAGTGAGTTTGTTCAAAATTGTCTCTGTTCACCCAGCAGGAAAATGGGTACCCGGTGAAAAAGTCATATGACTATAACCTTCTAGCGCCTAACAGGCAGCTTGGGTTATCCGGGGTAATAATGGCCTTGATTGTTAGCGCTATGAGCATACCTAGTGTGGAGTTTGGCGCTATATAAATGGACACATTATTATTATTATTATTAATGTTCCATTTCTTCACGACAACACCTTTGTGTACCAATACAGATTTAACGTTATATACAATGACAAGGATAGGCACAACACCGAATGTGACATTCCAGTATATATGATGTATTTTACGACACATGTATGATTATTTACATAACATAACAGATGGTCATTCATAGTACATGCATTTCGTGCTTCAACACACATTTGGCGTGCCTACTGTGGTGACACTAATTAATTTAGCATGAAATACGTATAGTCATGGCTTGACATCCATTACAACATATATGTCAGGTTACTGGCTTGTACACCTGATAGCTTCTCATGTAATCTTTTACGATCTAAAAGAAGCATATATATACAAAGTATTGTTTACATCTAATAGACATATTGTGTAGAGATGTCACATCAAAGGCAGAAGGCTCAATATATAAAGCAGGTGTCTTGCAATTAAAGCATCCTATTGCTATATAAGCAATATCATAGAGTTTCTTGAGAGGCATGTTTAGAAGTTGTATAGGTGAAGGAAAACCAAGTTATATGGATAGTCAACTTCTTTATTGCAATGAGTGCGACGTTTCGGTGTAGATACTAACACCGTTATCAAGCAAGTGATAGAGTTTTGGTTTAATGTAAGTATATAGTAAGCAGTATTATTGTATGGATAGCATTTGGTATCTTAACTGTAAAGCAGTATTGTTGTATGGATAGCATCAGGTAGTTTAGTGTAAAGCAGTATTGTTGTTGTATGGATCAGGTAGCATCAGGTAGTATTGTTGTTTACTGTAAGCAGTAGCGGTATTGTTGTATGGATAGCATCAGGTAGTTTAGTGTAAGCAGTATTGTTGTATGGATAGCATCAGGTAGTTTAGTGTAAGCAGTATTGTTGTATGGATAGCATCAGGTAGTTTACTGTAAAGCAGTATTGTTGTATGGATAGCATCAGGTGTAGTTTACTGTAAGCAGTATTGTTGTATGGATAGCATCAGGTAGTTTTACTGTAAGCAGTATTGTTGTATGGATAGCATCAGGTAGTTTAGGTATTGTTGTATGGATAGCATCAGGTAGTTTACTGTAAGCAGTATTGTTGTATGGATAGCATCAAGGTAGTTTACTGTAAGCAGTATTGTTGTATGGATATGCATCAGGTAGTTTTACTGTAAGCGCAGTATTGTTGTATGGATAGCATCAGGTAGTTTACTGTAAGCAGTATTGTTGTATGGATAGCATCAGGTAGTTTACTGTAAGCAGTATTGTTGTATGGATAGCATCAGGTAGTTTACTGTAAGCAGTATTGTTGTATGGATAGCATCAGGTAGTTTACTGTAAGCAGTATTGTTGTATGGATAGCATCAGGTAGTTTACTGTAAAGCAGTATTGTTGTATGGATAGCATCAGGTAGTTTACTGTAAGCAGTATTGTTGTATGGATAGCATCAGGTAGTTTACTGTAAAAGCAGTATTGTTGTACATGGATAGCATCAGGTAGTTTTACTGTAAGCAGTATTGTTGTATGGATAGCATCAGGTAGTTTACTGTAAGCAGTATTGTTGTATGGATAGCATCAGGTAGTTTACTGTAAGCAGTATTGTTGTATGGATAGCATCAGGTAGTTTACTGTAAGCAGTATTGTTGTATGGATAGCATCAGGTAGTTTAGTGTAAGCAGTATTATTGTATGGATAGCATCATGAAGTACACTCGTAAGCAGTTTTGTTGTATGGATAGCACCAGGTAGTTTACTGTAAGCAGTATTGTTGTATGGATAGCACCAGGTAGTTTACTGTAAGCAGTATTGTTGTATGGATAGCACCAGGTAGTTTACTGTAAGCAGTATTATTGTATGGATAGCATCAGGTAGTTTACTGTAAGCAGTATTGTTGTATGGATAGCACCAGGTAGTTTACTGTAAGCAGTATTGTTGTATGGATAGCATCAGGTAGTTTACCTGTAAGCAGTATTGTTGTATGGATAGCATCAGGTAGTTTACTGTAAGCAGTTTTGTTGTATGAATAGCATCAGGTAGTTTACTGTAAGCAGTATTGTTGTATGGATAGCATCAGGTAGTTTACTGTAAGCAGTATTGTTGTATGGATAGCATCAGGTAGTTTACTGTAAGCAGTATTGTTGTATGGATAGCATCAGGTAGTTTACTGTAAGCAGTATTGTTGTATGGATAGCATCAGGTAGTTTACTGTAAGCAGTATTGTTGTATGGATAGCATCAGGTAGTTTACTGTAAGCAGTTATATCTAATGCATCATGAAGTACATTGTAAGCTCGATTGTTATATCTCAGGAGATAGGTTTGTAGGTGATAGGCTGCATACGAGGCATTAGGTAGTAGAACTACATAATGATTAGTTACCCTGAGGCCGCTCCCTCACTCTCTCTGTATAAATGTTATATATCATATTCAAGTATTAAATATAAAGCAGTATTATGGCATCTATGGGATGAGGATGTATTGTCAGTTAGGGGTATTGTTGTATGTAATTATCAGATACGACAGTAAACAGTATTGTTACGTGTGTGACATGAAAAACATGGGTAACGCATTGTACGCAGTATTGTTGTATGTATGGACTAATGTCTTATGTAGAAGGCGGTTGTAGAGAGAACAGTAGTGAGTAGTAAAGTTACATTCATTGCATCGCTGTATACAGTGTTGTATGTAGATACCAGAATGTAACGGGTGACAGTGTTAGAGCTTAGAGCATACACCGAGTGTATAGAGCCTAGCGCAATATACGTACGTGTTATCCCCTCCTCCTCCTCTTCTGAGATATTACGTACTATAATGGAAGCAGTGTTTGACATAATCAGGCAACCGACAGTACGAGGGGCGTCCCAAAAGTAGTCGGCCTCACCTAGAAAATTATGCAAATGCAGCTGTTTTTAGGTTATATTTTTCCAAACCAAAAACACCAAAACCAAAACCAAAACCACACACACACACGCACACGCACGCACGCACGCGCACGCACACGCACACATACACAAACCCCCACCCAAAAAAACACCACCACGTACCCCCACCGCCCCTCTCCAACAACAACCAAAAACAAAACAAAACAACAACGACAAAACCGCAACATATGCAATAAATGCATCTCACAAACTTCAGGAAACAATTTATGCAAAACATTTTAGGTGTTTGAGAAGTCCTCTGAATCAAACGTAGATTTTAGAGTGCAAAACATCGCTTGTTGAAGTGACTCCCAATGATGTTTACTGAAAGAGCTTGTTTTGGAGACACTACCCATCCCCCTTTCAGATGACGTTATCATATAGGGCATAGCATATTCTAATGTTTTCACTTATGCATACATGATGCCAAAGGGTTCAAACTAAATATTGAATGGTCACACAAGTGTCAGCACTCAATATATTGTAAACAGTGCCAGCTTGAATATCTGGACACAATGTTTTGAAAGATTAAAATGGGGTGGGTGGGGTGGGTGTCCTTTAAAAAAACAGCCCCGTCTAAATATAAATCAAGCAATCCAAATCTTTAAAGGTTGATTGTGACGGGAAGTCATCCAATACTATACTGAACTAATTTTACATTATATTATCTGAGAGCATACCATTATCCAAGAGGTACAAAATGACAGATCGTTTTTCACTTTCCGCAATTTTTAAAGAAGTGAAATATTATACCCCAATGTGTTGTGATGACTAAATATCTCGTTAACCATATTACCAATATTATATCGTCGCAGTCCTGTCAAAACCTCGTATCTGACTTTTATTAAGTTTTTTGAGATAATCGAAAAAAACGTTAATTTTTAATGTGCAAACTTAACACAATGAGTTTTCAACCATAACTTTGCATCATTATTTGCAGTGAAACCAAACATGTTTGGCATCTTCATCCCAAAGGGTTAGGCCTGGATAAAACATACGAGGTTTTGCATCAAGTCTATTATTAAATAGGATAGTTTGAAAACAGGTAATTTCACTTAAATGTATTCAAATAACAATTAAACACGGGAAGATGAGTCTGTCTAGTGTCTGTTCAACGAGCCAGAACCATTATTGCATTATCAAATACAACGTTTAAACAAGGAAAAGATCATTTTATGGCTCAAGGCCCATTTGCATGACATGTTTTATCGGTGTAAGAAAATACTAAATCGACCACTTATTCTTGACTGCTATAACGTGATTTATTGTAAGGTACCCTATTCAATCCAAAATTACATCTCATTTACAGTATCGTCCCTAAAGACGTCTCACGGGGCGCTGTACCTGTACTGACTATACAGTCAAACGCCTTTAAAATGAGCACACATTGTTACAAAGCCTTTGTAACTTAAAGATGAAGAATGGAACGAATTGTAACACATGTTCTGTATCAACCCTGATTACCTAAGTCTTAGCAAACTATTGGGCACAACTCTGTACGTGCATGCAGGCACCTTCCCCAAAGTTTGATAACTGATAGAACAAATAGGAAACAACCGTTAGGACATATGGTACAGTCACCATGTTTCAACAGTGATAAGCCTTATAATTATATCGGCATCTGACAAACTTCTTAAAATGAATAAACACCCATGAAATTTACGAGGTTTTGCATGTTATTATTGGATATCAATAGGATAGGTGCTTTTGAAAATGGTTGTATCTTGGAATATTATTGGAGGATTGTTATGAGAATTTGACTGAAAAATGCATTGTTACCAGATGAATGTATTTTTCATCTAAAGTCAATTTTGGCAAAATGCTGACTTACGAGGTTTTAACAGGACTGCAAGGATATGTGAAATTTTGGATATGGCTTTGCTAATGATTCCTTCAAAATAAAATGGAAGCTTTTCTACCATTGGACATCGAGAATATAGTTAGACTGACTACTTTGGAACTACCCTCGTACATAACATGTAGTAATATGCTAGTACTGCTAAACACCATGTATTCTGACAGGATCACTGGTATTGGTGAATAAGTAGAAGTACAACGTCAGATATATAGTAAGCAATATAGTAAGCAAACGTCATAGTAAGCAACCCGTGAAGGTCCGGGTTAGAATATTGATCTTCAGTAACCCATGCTTGCCGCAAGAGGGGACTAAGGAAATGTGCTGGAGATTAGGTGCCTGACTCTGATGGTGTGGGTTCGAATCCCGGATGGGACTCAACTCAAAAGTACTAGAATTTGTACTTTACTAAGAAAGTGTAATCCCAAATATAACATATGTTATAATAACAAGATATTACATTTGCATTGTATGAATTCGTTGAACGACCGCATCAAATAACGGATACATGCATTGTTAGGCTCTCATGGGTGAATAATGAAACCAAATCCGGTGACATATGACACATTGATTGACACAGGAAACCCGTTATTAATCAATATGGGAGTAAAACAAGGAAATTACTCCTTTTAAACTTTGTCTGATTGTGTAGTAAAGAGAGTATTTTTGTAAATTTGCAGTGCACGCGTGTGTCATAACTGCCACACAACTTAAGCTCATACACTTCTTACTATATGTGACAAGCAATGGCGCGTCATCACTTATATGTTGTTGTACACCCCATAAACTGTTCACATTATATGGATGGATAATAGTTTATCATCATTTCAAGGACTACTAGTATATTCTCTGGAAGTGGGCCTTTCATATTTGCGAGTTTCAATTTCACAGTAGTAGTCCATTGGTATGATTATTTAAATGAGGTTATCATTTTCAAGCTTTTTATAATATCATCAGAAGTTTGATTAGTGTATGGCACAAGGATAAGTGGTTGGAACTTGACTCCGATTCTGGACCTTCTCTATGCTATTATACTGGTTTTCTAAGTCTTGAAAAAGACAAATATGTTTTATGTGTGTTGGTATTTACTGCGTATTGAAAGAGCAATTTTTTTGCCATGGCAACAACAAACCGGTTATGGCGTATGTCCTGTTGTTGACGCATTGGGGAAACTAAGGTGGAAGTTCTCACACTGTGGACCAGACGTCACCTTTGTCTGTTGTCTCAGTGGTTGTATTGTTGCCTGTGCTGAGTGAGTTTCACAGTTAACTCCGGGTAAACCCTACTCGCTGTACAGGACAATAGTTAACACAGTAAGTAATGCATATTTGATTTTAACAAGAATAAAATCAAATCACCAGCACATACAGGAAATAAAAACATGTCTAACTGACAGGTCATCGCCACACCTAGAGATATAGCGTCCACCCACGTGTAAAACTACTCATGTGTCATGATCGATCGGATCCCAAGTCTATGAGACAAGCAGAATAAAAAGAATACTGAAGCAATACATTGGAACATAATTCTGTGTTCTGAAATTGTCAGTAGCAACACTAAGTAGTGTTTTCTTGCTTTTGCGTGGCTATGTTCAAAACCCCAGATTTAACCGATATGTTGTCTTGGAAAGGTTCCAATTATATACATTTTCCATTAGTTACCTAAGGTGAATGAGTGAGTGAAAATGGTTTGACGCCGTTTCAATGGTTCGGCCAATACCTATCAACTAAGAATTGTTTGACATTTCCCAAATTAAGTGACTCGTCATGGATCTTCTGCTTATGAGCATCATCGGCATTAGATTATAGTCAGTAGGTACTGCAGCACATACGGCTTTGCGTTATTTACGTTCACATCTCATTTACCAGAAAAAACAGAAGGGGGCAAATTCAAGAGCATTTTCTGACGATTTATGTTAAAGTATTGTTTGGACACCGGGCGTTTCCAATGCATGGTCTGCCTGCCAATCAATGTTATGTAGGACTGTGAAAACGAGGATGTGTCTCCCTACGTGTTACATGTACTGTTGTGTGTTGTTAAAGGTCACGCTCAGCAATATTCCAGCTCCTCGTACAAAACATAATAATGAATATTGTGAGTAACGATCTACGGCCAGGTACAATGATACGCAGTGAACCAGGTCACCTAGTGTGACCCACAGGCCTTCGGGTCTTTGCAAGGATTAAAGATTTAAACAAAATAAGAAAATAAATTGTTTTTCAGATAACCCCCAACTCATGCTTTATTGTACTGTGAAGCATTTCGAGTCGGGGTCATCTCAAATTTATTTTGATATTTTTTTGTATGTTGCTTTAATACATTGTAGCATGATTGTCGATAATGGGGTAATTAGCCAATAACATCGTTGGCCTGTCTTGACCCATTTCTGCCCGGCCCGCGTTTTAAACATTCCCCGATTGATTCTCCCGCGACCAGCATAAGTCCGGCTATGATATATAATGCTCTCTATACAGTACTCAACTGTGAACATGTCAGGTAGTCTTCTTGGCTATAATAGGTATTCATTTCTTTTCAGAAACAACACCAGACATTACGGAACCAACGGTGCGTCACACAGTATACATTTCGGATAACAAAGTTCTCTTGGCTTGTGAAGCCAAGGGCGACCCTGTCCCTACGTAAGTACGACGTTTGACACGCAGTATTTCATACATTTCGATTCTAGTACTTGTGTTGGGTTGATAAGGGTGTACTAACGATTCCAGTAAATGTGTTGGGTTGACCAGGGTGTACTTCCCATTCCAGTACTTGTGTTGGGTTGACTAGGGTGTTCTAACTATTCTAGTACTTATGTTGGGTTGACAAGGGTGTACTAACTATTCTAGTACTTGAGTTGGGTTGACAAAGAGGGTGTACTAACTATTCTAGTACTTGTGTTGGGTTGACTAGGGTGTACTAACTATCCCAGTACTTTTGTTGGGTTGACAAGGGTGTACTAGCTTATTCTAATACTTGCGTTGGGCTGACATGGGGTACTATGACTAGCTATTCAAAGTACTTGTGTTGGAGTGACCAGGGTGTACTAACTATTCCAGTAATTTGTGTTGGGTTGACCAGGGTGTACTAACTATTACAGTACTTGTGTGTTGGGTTGACAAGGGTGCACTAACTATTCTAGTAACTTGTGTTGGGTTGACAAGGGTGTACTTCCCATTCCAGTACTTGTGTTGGGTTGACAAGGGTGTTCTAACTATTCCAGTAAATGTGTTGGGTTGACCAGGGTGTACTTCCCATTCCAGTACTTGTGTTGGGTTGACAAGGGTGTTCTAACTATTCCAGTAAATGTGTTGGGTTGACCAGGGTGTGCTTCCCATTCCAGTACTTGTGTTGGGTTGAAAAGGGTGTTCCAACTATTCCAGTAAATGTGTTGGGTTGACCAGGGTGTACCTCCCATTCCAGTACTTGTGTTGGGTTGAGTCCCCTCCGGGAATCGCGAGTCAGGCACACAAGTACAACTAAAGTACTCAAATCTACCACTTTCTAAATGGTATAGTGTATTCTTACATGCGTGTGTTGGACCGAAGAGGTTCTACTGAAACTCCGAACCCCAGAGGTGTTAACATTGTAAAATGCCATCAGAGACTCACAAGTTCCACTGATACCCTTTTGTTTACAGGTACAAATGGTATAAAGATGGGACCATAATCGTCTCTGATAGTATCACGCAGGTAGATTCTGTCACTGGCAATCTCACCATACCCAGCTTCACCAACAGAGAAGAGGGTAAATACCAGTGTGGGGCGCAAAACACCGTCAACCCACAGATCAATCCAGTAGCCGTGTCTCCCGTCATCCTTGTCAGAAAAGTTTGTGAGTAGAAATATACTTGTACTGCATTATACTTGTAAAGCAAGGTTATATTGATATAAGCCAATTAATACCATGATGCGAAGATCACGCTGGAAAAAGGCAATATAGGGTGAAGGAGCGAGTTAAGATTTACAGTTACATCGGCAATATTTCAGCCATATCGCAATATAGGGAATATAGATAATTGCATCATTAATACATCAGCTTATTTCAATGTCCTCCACGTTTTAACCATACTTTTTTGTGGGGTTCACTAAGACCTTATAATTAAATTCCTTAAATCTCTCCTTAGCAGAGATTTCTTATAAATTTGGAAAGGGGTTTGACGCTTCCATTAACCCAACTTAGAAAAAACTTTGAGCAAGACTCGTATGATGTATCGGGCTGTACCTTAAGCTTTTGCATTTTTCGGATCTTGGTGCCAAGTCTATTGGATGGTTACCGCATGGATAACACTATCCATTATATGATAATCATCACAGTTTCGATAGCTTTTGATTATACATAGCAAAACGTTCATCAAGAGATCATTGATGATATTGTGGTTTACACAATGCATGATGAACATACTGGAAGGTTTCCATTAACCAGTCTTTGTCTTTTAGTGGATCCTGTTTCGGCTGTTCGGCGCTGTTGTAATCACCTCTCCTCACCAAATGTAACGAAAACACAAATCATTCACTGTTTACAGCTCTTGGTGCCAACTGGCCTGTCATCCCTACTGAATTCATACAGAAAAACGAAGGTGCCTACGCGCAGCTGCTGTGCACAGACGTTCCGGAAAGTGTCCCAAAGGCTAAATTCGCCTGGTTTTTGGAAGAAACAGCCGGTGCTAAAAAGCAAGTGGAGGAAGGCAGCAGAATCCATATTGACGATCAAGGTGACCTTTGAACAGAGATAAAATGTTTAGCTGGATGTCGATGTTACTGTTACACAGCATTGCATATTTGAAAGAACCAAAGTCAGCAATGGCAAAACAATTCGATTTTTCACAAAACAATCCACGGCACAGTGTATAGTCAGCTTGTTAAATATATGTTCAATATTTAAGTATTATACGTATCATAATTTGAACTATTAAATACTTGAATATTGAAAATCGGGGTGGTCCTTAACTTTGTTTGAGCATATATTTCTTGTTTGACCTAACCCACCCATTTAACCACTATGCTAAGAAACAACTTTGCAGCATGTTCAGACTCATTAGTAACCAAAAGCGTGGTAGACCCAAAAATGTGTATAATACATACATTATTTATGTTTTACTTTTGTATCTAATAAAATACAATTTTACAAACTCTTCCATCCCTTTCATTGAATCTAGAATATTGTTTCAACTGGAAACGTGTTGATATTTTTGGATTTGAATACATTTTCTCATAACATATACACTTAATGAAACAACAGATTCCAATTTAAAAGTCTTTATATGACATTATATGATATTGTATTTAAGACAAAATCTTTTACAGGGACTCTTCATTTTATCTACCTGGAGCCAAGTGATCAGACAAACGTCAACCTGTACAAGTGTATCATATATAACAATATCCTCGACACCATCCGACTGGGCAGTCCAAAGAGTCTGGCAGTTACTCCGGTTGCCAGTGAGTATCGATTGCCTTGTAACAGATATGCATTTTAATTGAACGTAATGTTCATGTCAGTATTGTTTTACATTGTTTATATCATATCCCTTTCTTTACATATAACCCTTATTCCACCTGGTTGTATCCCCTTATATATATCTGCATGTATCATGATGTCGTGATATTGTTTGTTACATGCGTGTTGTACTCCCATTGAAACCATCAAGACAGAATATTAAAAATGCCCCAGATTCCTAGCTGAATTATATTTTCAATGGTGAATGTTCTACATGAATGTCTCATTATATTTAAAACTCACATGCGTTGCAGTCCCTAAAAATTGACATCAACATAATATTATGTACGAAATTGACATCAAAATGACGGCAGCAGAAATTACCCAAAGTGGGCATTAAAATATTCATGATATCAACCCATCATTGAATATTTAGCTATCCAAGATAGGATTTTTGTTGGCATATTCATACAATGATTAAGTTGGCAGTTGTCTCCCTTGAAATTATGAAAAGGTTAAATAATGTACTATCACGGTGTTAGAATACATTGTTCTGGAGCAGTGATTGGGCATTGTTGCATCTACATACACATGTATCCATTCTGTCCATTCTGAGCATATCAATGTAAGTAAATATGTTTTATGTTGAGGAAGTAGATAAATCTGGAATATGTGTGAGCTTAGTCAAGTGAAACGGTTATGTAATGGTTGTCCTTAAAGCAGTATTTGTGGTAGGAACTAGGGGGGGGGGGAAGCTAATACGAGCAATCTGACAGGTGATCGTAACACAAACATTTCAATGGTTAATTGGTTAACGGCAGGCAAACATCAAAGACGTATCGACCCGTGCCAGTTATATTCGGACACTTGACGTAACTTCCATAGACTTACATGTTAATTTAGTGTGCATAAATAATTTTCATGAATTTAATTTTCGTATGATCCAAGTCAAATTATGCACATTTGTGAGGAATCACCTTACTTATAATCCGGTAATTTCTGCATAATTTTCCGTTGCTTATTTATCGAATGGTAACAATTTCAGTTCAATTTTGCGACCACTGTTTAACTAATGACATCACATTTATCAACTTACGTATAGTTCCACAATGCACAAGCCCTTAGGCCGCCATGTTAAAGGAGTTCACGGCACTGTAGATATGTTGATTAAATTATCTACGCAGAGCAGTGATGATTTCAAATTTGCCTATCAAATTTTACAAAGATCTATATATCCTAAACTCATTTCATGAAAATTATTTATGCTACACTGAAATAACATGTAAGTCTATGGATATGACGTCAAGTGTCCGAATATGTATGGCACGAGCCTGTAAGTTTGTGTGACATTACACTCCCCATTAAAGGTGTTATGTATCTATCAAACAGTTCCAAGATGCTTCTACAAAAATTTAAAAACCTTCCTGTCATTTCGTTATGGGTGATGGCTTACATCCTGAACTGTTTCTGCGGAATGGCCTTAGTGTCCAACACATTCAAATTTATCCTGCTCCAGTTAATCGGGGATGAGAACGAACACCTTTGTTGTGATATATACATGCAGAGTTATCAAAACATAATGCGTATCACTGCATCGAACTTAATCCTTTTGCATATTTTCAGTTTTGGGAAAAAAGTATTTCTCAAATATCCATGACAATTGGTGATTTCAACAGTGTTTTTGTTGGGTTGTAATGTTTTTCATGACCACATTTGGAATCCGAATGTCAACGATCGTGTTATGGTAAAACTATGAAAATAGTGTTTTTGTTGTGTTCAGTGCCCAGAACAGTGTGTCATGACAGAAGTAAACTTGTACTCACTCACACTTAGCGGGAGATTTAAGTTCCCTGTTGATTCCTTTTGTCGTATGCAAAGTATCATTTGCAATACGTTCGTCGAAACGATGTTCAAACTCACATTAGTATTTCCGTCATGCAGCCATACAATGTACAAATAGCATGTATTTCATATCAGTGGCTACATGGATCAGCTCCATCTCGTTAGCTTTTCATCAGTTGGTTATTGTTCTGTTGATGCACGTGACATATTTGGCGCAAGTTCCTGTGTTTCAAATAAGTCCTATTCCAAACACAATCTGTCCATTGGTTCAAGTTTTAACCATATAACCTGTTAATGTGTGTTTATGATGAATATTGAATGCAAGTCACCAAACTACTCAAATACCTATACAAATATATACGTCATTCTGGGCCCCGTTCCTCAAAGCGATCGTAGCGCTACGACAGTCGTAAGTTTATGTTAAAATATGGGAGTTACGATCATCTTAGCGCTACGATCGCTTTGAGGAACAGGGCCCTGGATTGAACTAACAGAATGCTGTCGCTAACATATATGTAACTAACGTCAATTAGTATTGTTATAGTAATTGTTATACTGCTGTACATCTATTCCTCAATTCAATTTGACCACGAATCCATCACTTGGTTACATGGACATGTGCTTTTCTATGTTTTGCGCAACCCAAATATCCAGCCGCTGTGCCCGCTCCCACGGATGCAGCCGCGCAAACACAACCTTTTTTAGATAAAATTATCAACAATTAATAGACTTACATCTGATTAATATGGAGACCTTTGTTTTAATCACGGTTTGCCGGTTACCTTGATGCCTAGTTTGAAATCTCTGGTCAAGTTTATGCACCGTTATAAAACATGTTTCTCTCGACACTTTTCTTATTGGAGACTGAAACAGCATCACATTGCGGGCTGTCTAACGGCATTATGGGGCTTTGGATTGGTCTCCCCACTGTTACGACATATAGTTAACACTCATTATACTATAGCCTTGGGAGGGTTTACATAATATACACCTTTTATTGGCGCTTTAGGCCATTTGTATTATCCGGTTCATGATGATTTTATGAAAACATTTTATCTGAAAGAGAGACAGTATCTGACTGACTGACTGACTGACTGAGTTTGGTTTTACGCCGCTTTTAGCAATATTCCAGCAATATCACGGAGGGGGACACCATAAATGGGCTTCACTCATTGTACCCATGTGTGGATTCGAACCCGGGTCTTCGGCGTGACGAGCCAACGCTTTAACCACTAGACTACCCTACCGCCCCAGACAGTATCTGAACTTGTATATATTGTACCACACATTTTTGAAAATGTTCTGTTTATTTCTCCCTTTTCTGCACTTAGTGCAAAATACTCCAGCCAGATGCTACTTTATGCGTCGACCTGTCAGTCGGTTTATGATAGCCTACCAATCATACACATACATCGTTCTGTTATGAAGGAAACAAATCATACATGGGACAAGGTTTGGTAACAAAGTTTAAGGATCTAACAAATAACTAAGAACGGATATTGGTTTCTAGCGATAATAGCCTTGGAAACAAGAACTAGATAAACCGAATCCGTACGAGGTTCGACCGAGATCACATATTCCCTTGGAAATGTAGAAGAAGAAGAAAATTAGTTTATTTCCGTGTCACATATTTTCTAGACATACATATACATTTCGTCGACCAGTTGAAGACAATATCCAGCCTTTCAGGTCTACGAGACACGATTATACATTAAAATTGCGTTAAAATAAAACTGTATAAAGTGTAAAACTCATGGCAATATCACCAAGATTATGATACATAAAAATACATGACTATACAGAACAATGGCGCCTTGTGTATTGCTAGGACGTTGGGAATGTCATACAAGAATAACACTATTGTAAACGTTGTGATTGTGGCTACTTATCCTAGGAATAATGAATTCCGTTTTATTGTGTGAGCCAAATAATCGGTAGACATTTCCAGACCGTGCAGTTTCCATTGTCTCGGAGCACTGATCTATGGACACCGGCATAAGACGATGAACTTTAGTATGATATCGTGCACGAATCGGTAGAGGGTTTGCACAAAACAGACACATCCTGATTTCACTGTATGAAGTTTCTAGTGTGAGGAGAGAATGTGCGCAGATAGTGGATTTGCATTTCGTGGACTTGAGCTTCTAATGCCACAATGAGTGACCTGCGATTATGTACGAGGGGCGATCAAAAAGTATGTAGAATCACCAAGAAAACGATACAAATGCAGTTATATTTATGTTTTGTTTTTCTACATATTATCTGTCAACCCCAAGCAATTTGGTTTTGCTATGTTACAGTCTCACGATCCCCATTTTGCTTGACCTTTCATCTTGGTAAGACGCAAAATCTACAATAAATGCATCACAAACTTCAGGAAACAAAATGTGCAAGAAATATTTTGTGTCTTTGAGATTGATATAAGTCCCATAGAATCACACTTAGATATTAAAGTTCTATTCATAAAAAAGCAATCTGAAATGACAATTGTTTGTTAAAGTGACTCCGCCCTTCATGTTGACTGAAAGAGCTTGTTTTGTAGACACTACCCATCCCCTTTCAGGTGACGTAATCATAAGGACATAACTTATTCTAATGTTTTCACTTATTCATGCATGATGCCAATGGTTCAAACTAAACACTGAATGGTCACACAAGTGTCAACTCACAATATATTGTAAACGGTACCAGCTTGAATATCTGGACACAATATTTTAGGAAGATGAAATGGGGGTGACCTTAAAAAACAGCCTTCGACTAAACATAAAATTAAGCAATCCAAATCTTTGACTGTTGATTATGACGGAAAGTCATCCAATACTATACTGAACATATTTTATATGATATACACTGAGGGCATACCATTATCCAAGAGGTACCAAATGACAGATTGTTTTTCATGTTCTGCAGTTTTGTTAGAAATATTATACCCCAATGTGTTGTGACGACAAATATCTGGTTAACCACATTACCCACACATGTGAAATTTTGGATGTGATTTTGCTAACGATTCCTTCAAAATAAAATGGAAGCTTTTGAAACATTGGACATCGAGAAAACAGTTAGTCTACGTACTTTTTGATCGACCCTCGTACAGTCTCTTATTCTACCTAGCACTACTTGTCCTGGGCCCCGTTCCTCAAAGAGATCGTAGCGCTAAGGTGATCGTAACTCCCATACTTCAACATAGACTGACGACAGTCGTAGCGCTACGATCGCTTTGAGGAACGGAGCCCTGGTACACACTTTTTAAAAACAATGGGCGCTGTATTGTCTTGTGTTCTGCGTGGATATAAAGTACTGTGACGTGACACTATTTTTCAATAATCAATCTAGTTATCCAGTATATGACCATTTTCACAACTGAGCAGACGTTTCCATCATTCTATAATTGTGCATTTTGTTTCAGGTAAACCATATATAAAGCCTAAACTCGAGTATGAAACTAAACCTGCAGTATTCCTACGGTCCCAGACAGCGGAGTTGGAGTGTGTGTACAGTGGATTGTGAGTGTAGTTCGTTTCATGATAGATCTCGTAGAATATATCAACAGTCAGTGTATGAAATAAGGCCCGTCCGACCGCCCGAGACGGTCTAGATTCCTGACGAACGGTCTAAATTTGCAGCTCGTCAGCCCGATGATCTGGTAAAAATTATTTATCTTCCATACATCTGAGTAAATTCGACATATTTGGTCTGGTTAAATCCAGAACAAATAAGTTTATAGACCAAATAATTTTAAAGACATCGGGGCTGGTTACTTCAAAATGTTACCAACTCTGATGTCTGGCTGAATTTTTGGTTTATTTCATACACTGATATCAAGTGCATGGTCAATATTGACATGTTATTTGTATACAGGTATTTGTTCTGGTCAAACTACACATAAATTCACCAGTTATCAGTTTTTGCCTGCTAACAAACTGTTTTCCCAAATCAGCCCCCACTTCAGTTAGGATCTTTCCTCTCTCGACGAAGGAAGTATATGTACACACAAATCGGTAACAAATGAACAAAAATAAATATGTCTATATAACCACTTACTACACTTGGACTATATACGCTTACACAAAGTAGGGGAACCTGAACTTTCAGTTTGGATAGGAAGTATAAGCGTTAACAAACTTTTCAAAGACAGACATTTTATGAACGCTCCACCATTTCTCTGTACACAACGCATGGGATGCACGTGCACAGCACAGTAAGCGGTTAGCCCCATACACGTGCATGGTGTGTCATTCTTGATTTTGACGGTTTTCAAGAAGGTCGATAAATCACAGTAGACCATTCATTTTGACAATCATCTTGCATCACACAGTTGTTAGTGTTTGTTCCCAACCGTTTTTTTTATTTGAAAATGAAATCGTACACATGCAAAGGAAGTGCAAGTGGTGATGCACTCTAAAAACATTCATTGCTATCATATCAACATTTATTGACTCCGATATATCTCCCAATGTTTCAATCGTAAATTAATAATGACGTTCTCTTACTTTTTTTGAAGAGTATATATGGACGAAAACATTATTGATACTCCTTCATCACTTGCATAGTTTGTAAGAAGGAAATTACAAAAAAGCAAGAACGATAGACCCTTTCTATATTAATAAGAAATATCTACCAAAAGTGGAATCGAATGTGCGTTCCGACTATATCATAAGCATGATGACTATATCATGAGTATAAATTATTATGAAATAATGACCATACAAAGCGTTCGCGAAACTTTAGCGTATCCTGCTCTCAAGCACATGCAGGAAACAGAAGAAACTGAATTAGAAAGAGAGCAAATATCGTCATATATGGTTATGGTATTAACTCATTCTAATGGAGATATTTTGGGTGCATTTAATTTTCAAGATGTAAACCCCTACATGATCTTACATGAAGAAACTTTGAGCAACACAAATATCGGGATTATTTTCTAGGTACTCAATGATTCTATACCTGAAGAAATCACCTTTCTAAACATTGACCTGCTTCCCTTCCGATGACCTCCCTCAAATACAGATTACAAGATACTGATACAGCAGCGTCAGAACCTTCTCGCGTGTTGTCGTGTACACTTTCTGAAATGTTTATAAGGATGTATACTGTATTTGAGAATATTGCGTCAAACCTTCTCGCATGTTGTCGTGTACGCTTTCTGAAATGTTTATGAGGATGTATACTGTATTTGAGAATATTGCGTCAAACCTTCTCGCATGTTGTTGTGTACGCTTTCTGAAATGTGTATTAGGATGTATACTGTATTTGAGAATATTGCGTCAAACCTTCTCGCATGTTGTCGTGTACACTTTCTGAAATGTTTATTAGGATGTATACTGTATTTGAGAATATTGCGTCAAACCTTCTCGCATGTTGTCGTGTACACTTTCTGAAATGTTTCTTAGGATGTATACTGTATTTGAGAACATTGCGTCAAACCTTCTCGCATGTTGTCGTGTACGCTTTCTGAAATGTTTATTAGGATGAATACTGTATTTGAGAACATTGCGTTAGAACCTTCTTGCATGTTGTCGTGTACACTTTCTGAAATGTGTATTAGGATGTATACTGTATTTGAGAACATTGCGTCAGAACCTTCTCGCATGTTGTCGTGTACACTTTCTGAAATGTGTATTAGGATGTATACTGTATTTGAGAACATTGCGTCAGAACCTTCTCGCATGTTGTCGTGTACACTTTCTGAAATGTTTATTAGGGTGTATACTGTATTTGAGAACATTGCGTCAAACCTTCTTGCATGTTGTTGTGTACACTTACACTCTCTGAAATGTGTATTAGGATGTATACTGTATTTGAGAACATTGCGTCAAACCTTCTTGCATGTTGTTGTGTACACTTTTCTGAAAATGTGTATTAGGATGTATACTGTATTTGAGAACATTGCGTCAGAACCTTCTCGCATGTTGTCGTGTACACTTTCTGAAATGTGTATTAGGGTGTATACTGTATTTGAGAACATTGCGTTAGAACCTTCTTGCATGTTGTTGTGTACACTTTCTGAAATGTTTATTAGGATGTATACTGTATTTGAGAACATTGCGTCAAACCTTCTCGCATGTTGTTGTGTACACTTTCTGAAATGTTTATTAGGGTGTATACTGTATTTGAGAACATTGCGTCAAACCTTCTTGCATGTTGTTGTGTACACTTCTGAAATGTGTATTAGGATGTATACTGTATTTGAGAGCATTGCGTCAAACCTTCTCGCATGTTGTCGTGTACACTTTCTGAAATGTGTATTAGGATGTATACTGTATTTGAGAACATTGCGTCAGAACCTTCTCGCATGTTGTCGTGTACACTTTCTGAAATGTGTATTAGGATGTATACTGTATTTGAGAACATTGCGTCAGAACCTTCTCGCATGTTGTTGTGTACACTTTCTGAAATGTTTATTAGGGTGTATACTGTATTTGAGAACATTGCGTCTAAAACCTTCTTGCATGTTGTTGTGTACACTTTCTGAAATGTTTATTAGGATGTATACTGTATTTGAGAACATTGCGTCAAACCTTCTCGCATGTTGTCGTGTACACTTTCTGAAATGTGTATTAGGGTGTATACTGTATTTTGAGAACATTGTCAAACCTTCTCGCATGTTGTTGTGTACACTTTCTGAAATGTTTATTAGGGTGTATACTGTATTTGAGAACATTGCGTCAAACCTTCTTGCATGTTGTTGTGTACACTTTCTGAAATGTGTATTAGGATGTATACTGTATTTGAGAACATTGCGTCAAACCTTCTCGCATGTTGTCGTGTACAGTTTCTGAAATGTTTATTAGGGTGTATACTGTATTTGAGAACATTGCGTCAAACCTTCTTGCATGTTGTTGTGTACACTTTCTGAAATGTTTATTAGGATGTATACTGTATTTGAGAACATTGCACTTAACCTGTTTGTACCTGTGTTGTCAGCCCCCTCCCAACAGTCACATGGCAGAAGGACGGTAGCACCATCTCAGCAAGTACTAAATACGCCTTCGACAAGGACAACAGGAAACTGAAGATATCAAATCTGGTGGAGAATGACGAGGGCATGTACACATGTATCGGGACGAACTCTGCCGGCACAGTCCAAATACCCATCTTTCTGGATGTGACGTGTAAGTTCTTCTGCACTGTTGTCGGTTGTGTCTTTCTTGTTGCGCGGGTTGGTGCGGTAGCCCAGTGGTTAAAGCGTTCGCCCGTCACGCCGAAGACCCGGGGTCGATTCCCCACATGGGTACAATGCGTGAAGCCCATTTCTGGCGTCCCCCGCCGCGATATTGCGGGAATATTGCTAAAAGCGGCGTAAAACTAAATTCACTCACTTTTTCGCTGTGAATAGTTGCGGCCCTTAAATGTCACAATTATGATCCTATGTTTAGGGCTGGCTATCGATATACAGCATGAAGATCAATAATCGTTAGCTTAATATCGATCGATTATCGATAAATATTCGAGACATAACTTTGAGCAAAAATGGCACAACTGTCTGAAAGAAATGAACATATTTCACATTACTGGTGGGAGTGTCATGTTTTTGCATGGATTATTAACAAAACAGAGTTCTGAACATAATTTAGAAGCAGGCTTGCTATTCTCGAAACGTTCGTAGCCCTATGAACACATTGGCTACGATCATGAATTCTTAGGGCTACGAACGTTTCGAGAATAAGGGCCCAGGTCATGATTATAGTTCTAAAATTGAATATTGTGTGAGAAAATAAAAACAACAACACTGTTTTCCATCACAAAAAGTTAATGTACGATATAATCGATAACACAAGTTTCATATCGATAATCGTCAACAATTCTTCCTATCGACGATATTTCCGATTATTTTAGCCAGCCCTACCTTGGTTTGGTAGCACCATATCAATACTGTGACAACTGAATGAAATACTAAAGGGATCGGGAGGTCAGTTTCGCTGACTTAGTTGACACATATAATCGTGACCCGTGAAGATCCGGGTTAGAATTGGCCTTCAGTAACCCATGCTCATCGTAAGAGGCGACTAACGGGATCGGGTGGTCAGGCTCGCTGACTTAGTTGACACATGTCATCGGTTCCCAATTGCGCAGATCGATTCTCATGCTGTTGATCACTGGATCGTCTGGTCTAGACTCGATTATTTTCAGACCGCCGCCATATACCTGGAATATTGCTGAGTGCAGCGTAAAACTAAATTCACTGACTCACTCACATATAATCGTATCCCAATTTATCCTCATGATGCTGTACACAGGATTGTTTGGTCCAGACTCGACTATGTACAGAATGGTGCAATGTAGCGGGAATATTACTGAGTGTGGCGTTAAGCAACACACCAACAAAGAATGAAACACTGTTCATTGTTGTGTTAACTGCCACTTGACATCACCACAAGGTGGTCTGACTTGTCTTCCATGGCCATTCAATGTCAATCATATGCAGTGGGTGGGGTTACTTGAGCCTGTCACGTCTACGGGGTCTATCTCAACATGGTGTAACAGACTGATCAATTTGGGTGATAGGGCCCAGATGGATGAACAAATACGACATATTGTTTTCAGTATTTAATTTAACACATTCTCCATTTCTCTAGATATTTTGGATTAAGTGTGAGACGAAATTCCGTCCTCTGTGTTTCAGCTGGCCCAGTACAGATTCCCCCAATTTCTGTCTATATTTTGGATTAAGCTTGAGACTAAAGTCTGTCTTCTGTGTTTCAGCTGGCCCAATACAGATCCCCCAATTTCTGTCTATATTTTGGATTAAGCGTGAGACTAAAGTCTGTCTTCTGTGTTTCAGCTGGCCCAATACAGATTCCCCCAATTTCTGTCTATATTTTGGATTAAGCGTGAGACTAAAGTCTGTCTTCTGTGTTTCAGCTGGCCCAATACAGATCCCCCAATTTCTGTCTATATTTTGGATTAAGCGTGAGACTAAAGTCTGTCTTCTGTGTTTCAGCTGGCCCAGTACAGATCCCCCAATTTCTGTCTATATTTTGGATTAAGTGTGAGACTAAAGTCTGTCCTCTGTGTTTCAGCTGGCCCAATACAGATTCCCCCAATTTCTGTCTATATTTTGGATTAAGCGTGAGACTAAAGTCTGTCTTCTGTGTTTCAGCTGGCCCAATACAGATCCCCCAATTTCTGTCTATATTTTGGATTAAGTGTGAGACTAAAGTCTGTCTTCTGTGTTTCAGCTTGCTCAGTACAGATCCCCCAATTTCTGTCTATATTTTGGATTAAGCGTGAGACTAAAGTCTGTCTTCTGTGTTTCAGCTTGCCCAGTACAGATCCCCCAATTTCTGTCTATATTTTGGATTAAGCGTGAGACTAAAGTCTGTCTTCTGTGTTTCAGCTGGCCCAATATAGATCCCCCAATTTCTGTCTATATGTTGGATTAAGCGTGAGACTGAAATCTGTCTTCTGTGTTTCAGCTGGCCCAATATGGGAGATGGCTTTAAGTGACCAAACTTTACCAGCAGGCAGGGATGCCGTGTTCTACTGTATGTCTCGGGCTGCAGCAGGGGAGGATCTCATTCCCCAACCCGACTGGTACATCAATGGGAATCCAATTGACATACAAAATCCTCCAGGTAAGACTCGTATTGTCAATCTGTATTCAAAACGTATTAGTTTAGTATTTAACGGATCGTGAAACCCCATTTCAGATCTTCTAATTCAATCGTTTGTTCACATGTGATCGGCGGCGTTTGAGGCGCAATATATATATATTGAATATATTACTGACGTCACGATCACGATGTAAAAAACCCAAACCATTATTTTCGCTGTATTGTGTGGAAGATATCGATTACTATAAGAAGATTTGGTTTAGTTTGATATTTGTTAAACGCTGCAGTCAGCAATATTCCAGCTATTTGGCGGCTGTCTGTAAATAATCGAGTCTGGTGCAGACAATCCAGTGATCAACAGAATGAGCATCGATCTACACAACTGGGATAAGATGACATGTGTCTCCAAGTCAGCGAGCCTGACCACCCGGTCCTGCTAATCGCCTCATACAAGCATGGGTTGCTGAAGATCAATTCTGACCCAGATCTTCTTCTAATCCGGCTGCTAGAAAGAGGGCAAAATCATCAGTAGTCGGCACCGTGGAAACTAAAAACCCAACTCTCTTTTTTGCTCTCCCTTTCTCTCTGTCACACATATCAAGATAATTATTTCAAATATATCATCCCTTTGTAGGTAACGGCAAATTTCTGTTCAGTGATGGCGGAAAGGTGTTAACCGTCATAGGTCTACAGAAACCGGACGACATCCAGTGTTTCCAATGCAACGTGAGCAACACAATAGGATATGAGTTTGCTAATGGTTGCCTCAACGTCATTGGTAAGTAGTAGGACTTTTACGGGTCAACATAATTACAATTGAAACGTTTATTGCTGGAGTAAAATAGTTACTTTACTTACTGTTATTCATTCGCAAGAAGTAATATATGTCTTCAAACTTACTGAGCTTGCACACAAACACACATTTACAGGTCAATGTATATACCAGTCTTAAATCGATTATTCCATGACAGTTTCTTGACGTCATTCAAAGTCAGTCAAAGATGTTTATTGTACAAAAGGCCTCCGGCCCATATACATTGGAGTTATACATATACATTATACATATGGTGCAATAAGTAGTAATTAGTGATCCAAACAGCAAATCATGATACAGGCAGTAAATTATGTACAAGTAGTGAAATACGATGGACATACAACACTTTTTATCAGATTGTTACGTTTAATAAGAGCATAATTGATATAGTACGACAGCTTTATTATTCAAAGAACGGATTTAATTCGTGCTATATGTGTTCTATGCATTTCTTGAAATTCCATCCACTTATCTTCTTCTTTTTAACATGTTAAGAATCAATATAATATTTCTGTTATTTGCCATGTTACTATTTTATGTTCAATGTATACTGGCCACATAAAGAAACTGTGCACACAGAAAATATAAATATAGGCACACAGCGTCTTTATACATAAATACAAGTGTGAACATAGCAAGTGTTGGAGACAATCAAACGCTCATGAACGTGCCAGGCGACGTGACGTCATTGATGGTGGCCTATGGACTTGCAATGTGTTACTGCACGTGCAGCCCGTGCAGCCGCACACAACATGTGAAACTCAGAAATTGCAGTCACTGTCGAAAGCTTGATCTTTGGTCATTCAAACGTTCACAAATTCACATGAGAAGTCACATGCACATCATGCTAAGATTAACATCTGCTCAACCTCAAGAAGCTATTGGAATGGTTCGAGCAAGAATGAGCAAACAACAGATGGCAGCACGTTTCCAATGCCATCGTAACACGATATCTGCATTGATCAGGCGTTATCGAAACAGTAATGACGTCAGCGACCATCCACGTTCTGGGCGTCCGCGACGTAACGACGCCAAGGCAGGACAGATGGATTCGGGTGACTCATCTCAGACACAGGTTCCAGACGGCAGTGACCACGTCCAAAACCATTCCCCAGGTCTTCAATGCTCATTTGGTAGCCTCTGTGCGTCGTCGATGCACTGCTGTGCTTCACGCACATGGTCGTCATACCCGTTATTGACTTTGTGACTTCGCCATGTGACCACCTTCTCGATTTTGAACTTCTGACGTCATTGTTACGGATTTTGTTCGTGTTCTTTTGACATTTTGTTGTGGTCCGACACTTCAGCTTATACAGTGTCTCTATCATTTCGTCTTTTCTGTGTTGTATTCTAATTCTGAAGGAATTTTCTGTGCGCACAGTTTCTTTATGTAGCTAGTATAGTTATAAGTTGTTTGAAAATAGAATATTCAAGCCACGTTGCTAACTGGGATATGATTTCACATTAAGATATTTCTTCCAGAACCAATCGTAATATCTGAGCGTCCCCCGCCAGTTCAGGAAATCGCGAAGGGCGATCGCGTGAACCTGACAGTGAAAGCTACAACTGATCCAGGCTTTACTTTGAGAGAGAGATGGCACTTCAAGAATCAAACCTACGAAAACAATCTGCCTCCTCATGTGATTTACAACACGGCCACCCAGGAAGCCTATATCGACACGGCAGGCCTCACTGACGCTGAGTTTGAAGGGGTCATTGGCACATACTACCGGGAACTGTATCACCAATACGACAGCTACACTGCTGTAACAATTGAAGTCAAACCGAAGTGGTGGAGGCCAGGAGCTCTAAAT